GTCGAAGAGCAGAAGTTTTCTCTGGTGATACGGGTCTTTGATAAAAAAAAATCCATTTTCTCTCTTCATCGTCAATTTTGTTTTGGATAGTATTATACATCCTACACACACACACAAACACACACATACACATACACATACACATACACACACTCACATACAAACACACGCACATACAGTCATATATATATATATATATATATATATATATTTCGATAAACGTGCAATCACTTTACAAATTCATGAATTATTCATACAAAAACAAATACAAAGGTTAATGATTTAATTGGCGAGAAGAACTAATGCAACAGAAATTTATAGAAACAAGGATCTTTTCATTCATAACAGGTTCGGAGGTTTTTGTATATTATTTGAATTGTTTGCGACGATGGATTTCTCGCCAATTAAATCATTAACCTTTTGTATTTTTTTTTTTGTATGAATAATTCATGAATATATATATATATATATATATATATATATATATATATATATATATATATATCATATTATTCTGTTTATACGTAATTTTTATAGATTCAAGCACTTAAGTAAATGGTCTGTTTATAATAAACACTATAAACTACATTTACCAGACTGAATATCCGAGAAGTGTCTTCCGAAGTGTGTTTACTAATACTGTTTATTATAAAAAGAACATTTACTTAAATATTTATGTCTATAGAAATAATGTAGAAATAGAAATTATATTAAAATAATTGTCGGACTTAGTCGATTTTTATATATATATATATATATATATATATATATATATATATATATGTCGAAATATATATATGTATGTATGTATGTATGTATGTAAAAAGGATTACAGGCGAATCAATCATGGGAACCCAAGCTTCTCCAGTCATTTTTCAAAGTTTACCCCTGACCCTCATACACAATCGAATTTGTTGACATGTGCGTATGAGCACAAATCGATTATGGTCATGTTTTGGAAATTACGGCCTGTGTATGTCTGTAGACATGGTTGGAGAGTAGTTACAGAGAAGGAAGAAAGAGAGAGCGAGTGATTTAAGCAGAGAGATTTTTATTGAGTTCATATTTGGTACAAGGCTAAATCTTTAAGGACCAAACAAATTCACATGAAAATATTTTTAATTCTGACTTCTTGTAAAATACTCTCCTTCTGATTTCTATCTCTCATAGAATGTATGAATACAGAAAGCAGAAAAAGAAATCTAGATAAACATGTATATATTTATGTGTATGCTGAATATACATCTATATAATAGGAAATTAAATCCGAAAATATTTAATGTATTTTCTGCTTATACGATTTTTTTATGGATAGATTATTTAAGTAAATGTTCTGTTCATTAAATAAACTGAACTAATTACATTTACAGCGTGAATGTTTGAGAAAGTTTGTAAAAAACACGCATTCTCCGGAAGAAATCGAACCTGCAATTCTATGAAGAAACACTGGTAATACTGGCGTCCTACAACTGTTCAACCAGAGAGAACTTCCGGTTAAGCCTAATTCGAATAAATGGATTTGAACACACACGTTTACTGATCTTTCTCCATCTATAATATCTGCTCTCTTGCCATATCCAAACGTAAACAATAACATTATATCATAGAAAATGACATATTACATTTAATATATTTCATTATATATTAATGTTATATTGCATTTGATATATTATATTCAATATAAATTGAAATATATTTAATTCAAGAACAGAACATTTATTTAAAGAAGAGTATCCATAAAAATAACGTATAAACAGAAAATGCATATACATACATATATATATATATATATATATTAGGATATTACAACAAAAAATGTAAGGATCGCGACACAATTATTCGTTCTCATAGCACCTGTATATATATATATATATATATATATATATATATATATATACGGAGAGATAGATAGATAGATAGATTTGTGTTCGCGCGTGTGTGTGCGTGCATGTGCGTAGGTGTGAGTGTGCCTGTATCTGTGAGTATTAATATATATTTATATATATATATATATATATATATATATATATATATATATATATATGAATACGTGAATACGTAAATATATATATATATATAATTATATGTATATTTACATATATGCATATATATATAGAGAGAGCTAGAAACACACACACGGATAGCTATATATATATATTTAGTGACACAGACAGACACACACAGAGACAGAGAGATAGCAATACACACACACACACACACACACACACACACATATATATATATATATATACGCACACATACACAACACACACTTACACATATATATGTATATATAGCATGTTGTTGGAGATAGGTATGAGCTCGGAATGCAGAATCGGAGAGTCCTGTTCGAAGTCCTGTTGAGTTCGTTACATTTACTTGTTACCATACTGTGGGGAAAGGTATGAATCCATCTTTTCTGCCGCCAGCTATGGGCAAATAGCAGTGGGTGGTCACTAGGGGAAGGACAATATCTGAATTCAACAGCTTAGCAGGGTTG